TACTTGAAAGTAAGAAATATCTTCCCATTCAGACGCCAACATAACGAGTAACTTCTACCTATCTGTTTTTCATGTCACTAGTACATCTCGATTATGGAAAGGTCGTTTAATACTTACCGTCGTTCTCTACAGCTCACGTACTCGTTGATTCCTTCAGCTAATCGTAGTCGCAGATAACTTTGGTCATAGACATTCGGGATCAGTACCGTTGGTTCGGTGAGTCCCACTGTAAGGGTGAAGGAGTCTTCAGGGTAATGCTGACATAGAAAAGTAAAACCTACAGAGTCGCGGACTGAAAGGATGTTCCCTCGAATGCCAAGTGAGGAATGGAAAAGCGGTTGCCTCATCGAACGGTATTTTACTGAGCACATCATCAATAAGTCGATCGAATCTTGAAGCAGATTGATTATAATAGAGCCTTCTATGTCTCGTCTGGGTTTCCTATAGGTGCTGAATCGGCGTCCATGACCACAGAAAGGCTTCCTCGACGAGATGATTCAAAGGCATGAGAAACCTAATTTAGAGCACATGATTATTGGAAAAGTGACGGGTTGAAAAGGACCGAAAGATGAAAGGGTAGCAGTGATTATAGTGAGCAGATGATCAAAACAGGAACTCTAGGTTACTCAAGTTTTTCGAGCTTTGCAACATATACGACCCACCAAAACGTTTTTCACTAAAGTGCTTTCTGAAATTGGAACTACACGCCTTTCAAAATGCCTCCTACACCCTGATTGAAGCGGACGCACGTGGGGTAGGTTCAGTTTTTTGATCATAAAATTATCGCTACTAAGGCTTGATTATGAAGATGACATTAGGCCTTTACCTGTACGAAACCTTCAACGGGATTCCATCGAAGAAGGCTAAAATGGAAGCTGCCTCGGTAATGGCAAACTCCAATTCTTCATCTTCGCTCATCAACCGCTCACAAAGGCGTCGCTCCAATTTCTTCGGTAGTTCATTACAAAGTCGATCACAAAGATCAGGACTTAAAATACTAACTTATGAAGAAGACGAAAATGTTTATTACAGTTAAATCAACTCAGAGTTTTAAGCAAACCTACTACTGTTCTTGAAAATCCGCATTAACTAGAGATTCCAACTGATGCAAAAGGATCTCGGCTAAAAACGGAGATGTGCGCCACGTTAATAGCTCATAGCACAGCTCGTACTTTTCCGTCTCCGATTTCAACAACTTCTAAAATGTATGCTATACTTTTCCAGAATTAAAAAAAAAGGAATGCGAAACTCACTGGAACAGTTCTACAAGCAGTAAGTCTAGTTGACTATTGTTTTCATTTCCGAAACTATATGCTACTCTGTATATCAAATCAGGAGAGAGCTTCGATAAGTTATCTGAAAAATTACTTGTAATGTAATCAAATTACACGTGGAAAGGGCTGAAATATTGTTTAAATTTAAAAATGTTGAAACGCAAGACGCGCTACCACATATGAATAGAATGCTTGCCGTGCTTGTATTCGCCCCAAACGGACGATGATACCAAACTGGGTAAAGAACGGAGACCGACTTGCACAACGTTTTCTATAAGCCTACACAGGACAATGGGTGGTTCAAATACCCATTCAAATGAGTGACGCTGGGTGATATTAAGTCGAAAGCTTGGCGCATTCAGGGAGATTTTAACAAAGTTAGGCTTTTCGCAATTTCTTCGAATTTTCTATTTCGGCTGGATACAGGCGGTACATTTCTGTAAGAATTTGAGGCAGATGCAGCACGCGTTTGAAGTCATGCGGCTCAAACAATCCATCGAAACCAAACAACTTACTGACTAATAAAGATCTATATCAGCAATCAGACTTGAAATTGTTCAATGAAAACAAGCAAATCTCTTATCCGAAATGAAAACTTTTCTCAAAAAAAACTGTCTTAATCAGAATTAAACTAGCGTGTTGAACTTCGGGTACCTGACAGGAGGCCCGCCGCGCGGCAAGACGGCACAGTCAGCGGACGAGTCACAGCGCGTGCTGTGCGATATGCACGCCCAGTAGGTTACAGCTAGTACTTCAACATTTACGCAAACTCATACTATACGCGTTCGACTCGTCCGCTGACTCTGCCTTTTGTAGCGCGACGGGCTTCCTGCCGGGTACCCTTGAACTTCGCATTGAGGGTTTCATTTGCCTTGGGAAGTGCCGCGGGGGGAGGAAGTAAGGTGAGGGGAGAAGACGTCAAGATCTTTTAGGAAAGAATGATCAAGCAGTTTTTGGATGCACCTGGGAACTACTCCGTTCTATTTCTGTTTGTGTGCGTGCTTCTGCACTGCGGAATTTGCAGGAGCTGACTGTATGAAGCGGCGATGCTGGCGACTGATAGAGGTGGTAGATGAATAGAAGAAATAGGACACCTTTCGGGAGTACTCCAGCGTACCACCGCCTCAGTGAATGTCTACCGGGATCACTGTGACAGACGAGGGGGGAAAGCTTCATTGAATAGGAAGGAAGGTTGATGATGGGGTAGGCGCTCATTGTACAACAAAATTTGGAGTTGCGCGACTATATAGGCCACATCTCTATTTCGTGGGTGAAACCAACCACCCAAAAACTATTTGCAGGAGAACAAAACACGTTATATATGTGAAACCATCGAGGCGGAATACAATTAAGCGAATGATTGGGACGAAACATATAAAGGGTTCGCCTCTGGCCAATGCATAGGTACGCTGATTTTCCGATTCTCAAACAAAGATGAGACTTTAGTGTGAAAAAATTGTCTTACTGTATATCTGGCCTCGAACTTTATTCTCACGAATCACTGCACAGATATTTGCGATCCCTCAACCAACTGCAGTAAATAACAGGTGGGTTTTTAACACGGCTGAGCAGACATCCCGTACTCTGAGGCTGCCAACGAAATCAGCATGAGCTGATTGGCAGCGAGTTGCTAAACCGCACACGCTTATGCGCTTCAGAAAGCATTTTTGGATAAATCACTGTTTTTCAAACATATATGACAAGAACGCAACTCATAGGACAAACATGGAAAACTATTCGTAATTCAACATTTATGGAAAAACAAATCATAGAAATTATCAAACCACCAGTACAATGAAAAAGAAAACAATAAAGAAGCGTTCCAAGAAAATGTGCTCCGAAATAGAAAACCAAGAGGAGAGAAATCAATCACGTTGATGGGTCGTAATGAGTTACGCACACTTGATGGAAAATTAGTTTTTCAAAAGACAAAGAAAAAACAAAAGCAACAAAATTAATCTTGATTACTGAAAACGAGTGACGGCAACGGTATAAGTAATCTAACAACCACACAGGGGTTCTACCTTTCCCGCAGTGCTTCGGCAGACGACGAGTGCGTGGCTCGCTTTCGACATAGCCTGTTGAAGCTGTCACTTATTAATGGCGGCTTACAGAACACGTGATCACAGCGTATGACATGAAGGAGAAAGGCGAGTGTCTTTTGGATAATCAGTATCGAGGGGAACGGACACGTATGACACATCACGATACTCTTCTGGAAAAACTCATCATTCGTAAATTTGCCATGCATTTAGTGTCAGTAATTTCAAAAAGACAGTACCATTTGCGGTCGAGTGAATGAATAATTAGCGAGACCCGAGAGAGATTTAGAAGCCACAACGTTTTATACTACGGTTATGTGTGATGATTGATGACCATAACATTATTATATTAGGTTGGAAAGAAAGTTCTGCAACACTCTTTCTAAAATTTTCTTTTTTTTCTGAAAAATTCATAGGTAACATTTATGACTAACAAATGGTAGAGCATTCTCAAGGCTTCAATCCACGAGGTGGATATAAGTGCTGCAGTCAGTAGTTATCCAAGAAAATTCAAAAAACCTCGACCACTAGCAAATCCATACTCCGAGTCACTGTCTAGTACAAATGTCTACAAAACTATGGATTCGTGTCAAGACCAACACACTGCAATAGCTTCTATAGGCATGCCGTTCATCATTACAGCGTGTTTCACCTTCACCAGCGCTTTCAATCTTTTGATATTTTTATAAAAAGCACGCAGCGTCCCTACACTCTATAACAGGTAGGGCTCTTACAGAGGCTCCTACTATCACTGCATCCTTCGTATTGCGGCACCCATTGTGTAAAGTGGAGGCCCTAGGCTGTGGAGATAACAGAAAGCTGGCCGAGGTAGCTCGTCAAGAGCCCTCGTACCGCGACAATATTCATTTCTTTCATGACATTGCGAATCACCATGATCCGAAATGAGCCCGGTAAGAAATTCTGGAGTTGCGGCAAGATTTCTTTCCTCTCTTAGCGTAATCCCCTGGTCGAGCTGTAAATAAGTGCTACCTATCCTGGAACCTTTAAGTTGCGGCAAGATTTCTTACCTCTCTTAGCGTATTCCCCTGGTCGAGCTATAAATGACTGCCACCTATCCTGGACCTTAAATCATCATCTTGATGACGAAATAATTAGACGATCAACTCCAACTCGAAAGTGAGGTCGCCTCCTTTCTCGACCCGCACTCCGCTGGGTTTTGGCAAAGGAGCATCAAGAAATTTTCTGAGCGTTGAAGACAAGTGGTGGACACTCATGGTAGATATAAGACCGGTCAGGAGTTGTAACCAAAAAAGATAAAATTAAAATCAAAAATTGAAAAAGTGTTGCAGGACTTTCTTTCCAACCTAATAGATACAGAAAAAAGAGAAAGCAAATACCAAAAAAAATCGAAAGAGCGTTTGCTCGTACTGAAGGATCGTTCTTCAAAATTCCTAGTAATTGGTCCTGAACGCCGTCGTTTACAAAGAATATAATCGTTTGCCATTTGCAATCACCTTACCGATCGCAAAATGAACTTGTGCGGAGTGAAGGAAATGAGACAAAGACAAAAACAAATACGAGAGTTCTCTCCTGTGAGTGATTGAGGTCGAGTGAAACAAGGTTTTTTTTGAAGTAGCAGTGTTAGTTTTTGTTTTCGATTAATCGAGAGACTTACTAATGTATTTCCTTAACACGCTTTCGAAGTGTTTCTGTTGAAACCGGCCCTTCACAATGAGGCAGTTGTTACCATCAATTGATCCAGTAGTACCTGAACGAAAAACCAAGGTCAAACATAGCCGAAAAAACACTACATTGCGTTGCATTCAAGCGTTGATTGGATGCTCCATGAAAATGTAAATAGGGGTGACACTATCCATATCTAATCGAGGAAAACTGCGGAAAGGCACTCATATCTTATCGAACATAATCGTATCTAACTGAGACGATAGCCTACGACCTCTACATCACACTTGTTACCCTTATCAAGTTAAAATGGCTGTTACCTTGCTGACTCCTCACTTCCACTGAATCTTCTTGCGACGTCATGCAAGCCATCAAAGGAATGGCCTTCAAGTACCCGATTTTGTACGAAATCAACACCCGCAGTGATTAGATATTGTCCACTTCGATTGCGCTATCCTCCTAGTGCCCTTCCCCCTCCGACTACATTTTCACCATTCGCTCTCTTTATTTGGTCTTTCTGCCAGATAAAAAGATTCATTCACGAAAAACGGGAACTGAAAAATGGAGAAAATGACATAATTACCAAGTTCGGCGAGAAGGAACTGAAGTACGTGCTTGTCCTGTCGTTTCATTAATCGACAAATCTCAGCAAAATTGGAGAAGGCGGTCTTTTTACTTCCCTGCTCGGGCAACCTTAATAGCATTACTTTTATTGCTGGCAACAAATCCTTTGATAAGATTAGAATTTTCTACAGTCACAAGTAAATGGGTGACACAATAACGAGGTAGTGACAAGATTGTAGCTAACTAGATACGACAATGGTAAGAAAAGAAAACGAAAATTCAGAGCCAACTGAATACGGACTGAACCTATCACTAACAAGTACAAGAATGTCTATGACCCTCAGAAATGTTTACACAAAAATCTTAGCTTACTCACTCTACTCTTTGACACTCAGTGAAAAACGTATGCGTTTCCGTTTCCGTTTTGATTAAGCAAGGCATCGCAAAGTTGCGCAAAATAGACACAAAACGCTTACCTCTGGCGGTTTCATGGCAAACTTCTTCTTTTCCCCGGAAAGTTCCGGGTTTTTCTCACGCATGATATTGAAAACAATGGTTAAACATTCATCATATGAATAATCAGGCCAGGGTCGTTGAGCATCAATAAGGTTTGAGACTCCAATACCGATTCCTTAAGCAACATTGCAGTTGACTTTATTGCTAGTATCTGACGAATCATCCTTACCTAAATCCAAGAGTCCATCTTCCTTCTTTTCTTCTTCTTCTTCGACCTTTGGCTTTTTCTTTTTCTTGCCACCAAGTTTGAGTTCGCCTTAGATTTATTTATTTATTTATTTATTTCATTATAGATACGAGTTTTCATGAAGTTTGAGAGGCTAAAAATCTTTACGGTGCTAACTTAGTTGGGGGGGCCACGCGGCGGCGCGGCAGTCTGCTCACCTGGGCTCTCTCGAGCGAGACAGTGTAAACTCGAACATTCCAGCTTTTCACGCATGTCAAGTGACTGCCCCCACCCCCCCCCCTAGGCTGGCTACACTCCCCCTGGCCCACGGATTTCCGAACATGCGAGCAGACTGCCGCGCCGCCGCGTGGCCCCCCCCCAACTAAGTTAGCACCCTTTTACTTACCTAAGTCATCTGCTACAGCTTCAGCCGTCGGTGCCGGTTCATCGTCATCGAGTTTGATTACTTTTTTAGTCTTTTTCTTCTTGCCGAGATTGAGCTCCTAAAACCAGAGCGAATTCGGAATCGTCTTTCGAAATTGAACTTCGTAAAGATATTACTTACAAGGTCGTCGTCAGCCATGATTGGAATTGACTATGCTGAAGAGAAATTATGAAAGGAATATGAGCGACGTAACGACGTAAATGATGCAACCTTACGAATCAGAAAACCAAAACGCGAGAACGAGAAAACAAGGACGGCTAGGATTGAAAGCAAGCAGATTGATGTTGGCCCTTATGCAGATAGAAAGGAAACGACTTCGAAAACCGGAAGTGAGTTAGAATTTATATAAAATCACTAAACTCGTTTCTAAATGAAATTTGGCGACACGTCCACGGCACGTGGTGTAGCTGCGCCAGAGGTACTACAAAATACGACAGACGGTTAAAAGCCCGCGATTGCTTTCTTTTTGTTGCATGTAAGCTAAAGTTGAGCAGAACTCAGTGTCTCAAACTAAGAAAAGTCCCTCAAACAGAAAATTTGGGCGATCAACAGAAGTTTAGCGAAAGGAAAGTTCGGACTTCGCTATTCACAGTGTGCAATTGCACACTTGGTGGGGAACAGTATTTGAAAACATTCGTCTATAAAAGGAACACGATATCTGGGGCGGAAGTCGATGGAACCGCAAGTGCAAAAACGCGTGTCATATTCACAATAGGCCACTTATACCTGTGCCCCGGAAGAACGATAGCGGTAACGGGGTGCCGGGAAGTAAGGTGTTTGGTGAGATAGCATCGTGCTTTTGTTTACTTTCTCCCCCACATTTGAAGCGGAACCGATTGCATACTGCTAAATTCGACCACTCGAAAGTCCCTAAAAATTAGAGAGCATATTCCAGTCTATCGTAAAACTTCATCACAGCCTTCCACCTTGACGCATCAGAGGAATGAGCTATGGGACATACTGCCCATGGCCCGAGCTCACGAGGTCCGCGGCAGTTTACTACGAGCTTAGAATCTTGTCGAAAGAGTTTTTGCATACGTCATAGCTTCCCTCCTTTCCCTCGGAAGTTTTCGTCAGTACAACTGAAAAGGTTATGTAGCAGCTCCAGGGAAGCGATTACGGTAGGCCTCCTTTACCTTGACGGTGTTTGCAGATGACAACATATTCTGAAGACGGTTAGAGCAATAAAGAAGGGCCTACTTCTGCTCACGGAAAGTCATCTCAGGAATATTCGGCTGCAAAGGTTTCATCGACGTTGGCACCCTGAGCAAGGTTGCAGCAGAAACAAAAGCAGGTCTTCAAGAAAAAAAAAACGTTTTTAGTGTCTTTGATGGGGGTTGCAAAAATGCTTTACAGGAAGCTGTACACTTGAGATGGATATTGTCGACGCTCACCACTGAAAATTGACCGCCACCCGTGAAATTCTCCTGGAATGCAAATGCAAGGAAATAAATATCACTTCTCTCTCCCGGATACTCCTACCTTTTCGTGGCGCTGAATTAACATAGTCAAAAAGACTTACAGAATAGTTTGAAATGCGTACAAGAGCGCACAGCTTTTTGCCTTATTCATTCTGATACCACATTTAGGCGTTTTCAAGGTTTCAGCAATTCCAGAAGGTCCTTCTTCTTCTCCCTAGCCTCACCATTAGCCCCGCGCAGTCGCAGGGTCCGCTGTCTTTGTCAGCCGTCCATGTTGTTCTATCCCAGGCATCTTCTGCTGTGACTCTGACGTCTTTGGAGCTTCTCGCGAGCTTGCCTTGTGCTTCAAAGCCCATTGACGTTCTCATCGGATGATCCTTGGCCCCCTCAGCACGTACCCATACCATCGCACTCGTTGTTCCTTCACCTTCAGACAGACAGGGGCAGTCTGCATGACCGCTCTGACATCCTCGTTCCTGACCCTGTCCAGTCGCGTCCAGCCGCAGGCCCATCTCAGCATCCTCATTTCGGCAGAGTGAAGCTGCCTTTCGTGATTCTTGTTCAGGGGCCAGCACTCGCTGCCGTAGAGCATCGCAGGCCTTACCACTGTTCGGTACACCTTCCCTTTGAGCGCTCTGGAGCACCTTCGATCGCAGAGGATTCCGTAATTCCTTCATTGTAACCAAAACTTCG